ATCTGTTCACATCCCATATGTTCTTTTAACCATAGATAGTCTATAGTCATGAGATTTTGGGGTGCTACAACTTGCACCCCTCCCAACTCCTGGTTGAGTTCCAACAGTACAGATCCAGTCAAATTCGTTGTCTCACTGTATGCACATGCCAGCCTAGACATCTCCCTCCTCCTTCTTATGGCAAGTCCAGGAGACGGTGGGCTGGATGCAGCCACAACCGCAGCATCGAAGGACCATCCTTTTTTTAAATTTCAACCTCCACAGTAGTTTCTGAGGGCTGCTCTAACAAAATGTCACAAACTGGGTGGCTTAAAACAATAGAAAATATTCTCTCATAGTTCTGGAGGCCAACAACCAAGTTGTTGAGCAGGGCTGTGCTCCCTCCAAAGCCTCTGGAGAGGATCCCACCTTGCTTCATGCAGCTTCTGGAAACCCTGGGCATCTCCGACCTGTGGCAACCTCCCTATTGCCTGCCTCCATCTCAGCATGGCCATCTACCTTTGTGTATCACTGTCATCGTATCTCTTCTGCTCTTACAAGGACATCAGTCATACTGGACCAAGGGCCTGCTGCACTCCAGGATGACCTTCATTACACCTGCTAAGACCAAAGTTCCAAATAAAGTTTTATTCCTGGGTCCCAGGGCTTAGAACGTCAAGTCACCTTTTTGGAGTATGCAGTTTAACCCATAGCATCCCTGCATTCCCACTTGATTGGGTCATGCTCTGTGCTCTGTATGAATAATCTTTGAACACTAAATAAATGAACAACTTACTTGTTTTGTTTTCAGGATCTGAAGCTTGTTGGAATTAGTCTACCAAAATATGCAGCTGAACTGGCTGAGAATAGAGGAAAGAATCGCTACAATAATGTCCTGCCCTGTGAGCTGTTTTATCCATATCATTTTGCCTTTTTTCTGTCATTGGCCATCGCATCTCTAACAGGAAGGGGAGGGGGATCAAGTGCTAATGAGCCCAAATCATTCATTAGTCACCTTCCCTATGCTAAGCACTGTATGTAGGCATATTTCTTTGAATTTAATCCTAACAACAATCTTATAAAATAGATAGTTGAGTATTCGTTTTGCAGATGAAGACAGTGAGGTGCAGAGTAGGGAGCTGATATGCCCAAAGTTGTGCAGATGGTTGTGGCAGGACCAGGCTTAGACCAGGTCTATCCGTTTGGTTCAGGGAGAAGGCCAGAATCTGTGCTCTTCTTTCCTCCATGTCAGAACCCCTTTATTTCAGCTAATATAGTTCTAGAATGAAAGGGAGCAGGGGGGGACAGACAGAGTGTAATGCTTTCTCTGACTCTGGTTGGCTAAGAGCATTTCACAGCTAATTATGAATCGTGTTTGGATTCATTCCTGTTCTTGAAAATCAACAATGTCTGCAACATAATGGACAGGGTTAACAACAGATTGAGTTTAAGTGAGAATGATTTATTGTATCATCCATTACGGTGAAGTGTAAACCCTTCTCCATAGAAAGTTCTTTATGGTCTCTCTTTTGGGTGGAAATTAGGGCACAGAAATAAGTGTCCATAGATGGCAGCTGTGTTTCAATTTAGCCCATGTTCTGAGAAAAATGCCTTTAAAATTGGCCATGGGAGCTGCTGCTTATTGCCCTTCTAGGTTTAGCTCAGGATTATTGGCCTGCTCTTGTGAAGGTTGTGGGGATTTTCAGATCCAGAGTTTGCGTGTCATTTTTATTAGGAGGGTTTTAGGCTGAAACTCAGGTCAGCAACTAGGTTTGGAATTGCTAAGTCTCATCCGGAGAGGTGAGACAGGGTACGGTCAGTGACCAGGAAACAGGTGGTGCCGCTCACAGCTCAGCCTGACATTTGAAATCTAAGGTTATTATTTCATTTTGTGAGCTGGACAACTGTTTTGATCCTTCCACTCACAGTAATCTTATACATTCAGTTTATTCTTGAATTGGGTACTGCCTTTGTATAACCACTATTTTAGTAGAAAAGAGAAAATGTGAAAAGGTTAACCTGGGCATGTACCCTGCTGTAGTGAGAAGGGCACTCGGTCTGCATTCTAACTGCTGCTGACCAGATACAAGTGCTTGGAGAAGTTACCTAGCCTCCTGATCCTCAGTTTCCTCATCTGTAAAGTGAACACCAAAGCTCATAGGGTGGTTTTGAGGAATGGATAAAGTTCCTTAGTGCATTCCCTGGCTCATGGCATACACACAGGTCTGTTTGCCTTAGAAAGTGGTTTGGTGTCATTAAGAGCTTGGGCCCTGGTGCCAGGCTGCCTTGATTTGAGCCCTGGCTCTGCCACTTCCTCACTGTGCCTGGTTAATCATGTACCTTCTCTGTGCTGGTCACACAGGGTGACTGTGAGAATCAAATAAGGTCGCATGTGTGAAATGTCAAGTCATGCCCCTTTAGAGTGTGGCAGAAGCTCTGTGTGCCATTTTGTACTTCTTTTTCTCTCTTGTATGTAACTCTCCTCAAAAATTTGCTTTCAACGAGGACCTTTTTTCTTTTAATGCCACAGATGATATTTCTCGTGTCAAACTTTCAGTCCAGACCCATTCAACCGACGACTATGTTAATGCCAACTACATGCCAGTAAGTGGGCTATGTCTTCATAGCACTGGTTGTTGGGATGAAATCTTTAGAGCTCCTCTTCCTGTTTCATTGACATAGAATGTATGTTGCTTTTCTATTTTTAGGGCTACCATTCCAAGAAAGATTTTATTGCCACACAAGGACCTTTACCCAACACTTTGAAAGATTTTTGGCGCATGGTATGGGAGAAAAATATATATGCCATTGTTATGTTGACCAAATGTGTTGAACAGGGAAGGGTAAGCATCTTCCATTTAAATGATCAAGTTAATTCATTTTTACTGTGGTGGAAGGGTATCTTAAAAAGCATTTGTCTGTTTAAAGAAACACTCCCCCAAACATTAGCACCTCTATTCTTAGAAACTTGTTTTCTGTCTTTTTCTCCTCTAAAAGTTAAAAAATCTTTTAAAAAGTCTATTTTGTCGTTCCCTTACTTTGTGGACAAATATCAATGCTCTCTGTTCCTGAAATTGCTGCTGCTGGAGTTAGTAAGTGGAGGTGTTGGGTAAGCTCAGTGGAAAAACTCCCAGGCTTCAAGCCATGGCCGCCCATCCTTCGTCAGCTGTGTGCTTGGGTGCAGCCCATGGAGTTGCTAAGCAACCAGCTTCTCCTCTGAGATGAGGGATTTGACCAACACAGTTATCAGACTTGAGTATTTAGCACTGGAATCCTTTCTTTACAGAAAAGCTCAGACTTATCCCCAGGTACATCTCAGCAGGCCCCTCTCCCCTCTGATGGCCTGGAATTCCCTGGCTGCTTCCATCAGAGAAAAGATTTCTTCTAGTAATAAAATCCATGTTTCTATAAATGCATCTCAGGTGAATTGAACATGTGCTAAATTCAGAAGTTCTGTACCTGAGGAGTAAGACCTAATGTTGCTCTGTGAATTTCTTCATGTAGCTTCATTTCTTGAGGAGTAGGATAGGAGTCGATTCTCTAAGCCAGGGATTCTCAAACTTTAACATGCATCAGAATTGTCCCTTGAGGAGCTTCTAATGCAGGTCTGTGGTGGGACCCCAGAACTGTGTATCTGATGATTCCTGGGGCTGCAACCTCTGCCAACCCAGGCTGTGCTCTGTGTGTGGCGCTGTCCTTGGTGGTTCAGGGAACCCGCCAGGTGTTTCTTTTAATGTTCCTTATTTTGCTTTAATTTAGCAGATGTTTATCCTGCCCAAGTATGTGGAAGGTCCTGTGGTAGGGGCTGGGGATGGAGGAGGGAAGTATGACAAAGAACAGTAAGAAGTGGTTCCCATCTTCACATCACCTGTGATACAGAAGGTTGGGTTCTGCACACACTCCCTACATAGGAGAGCTGGCCGTTCTGCCCACGAAAGAAGATTGTTTAGGAATGCAGATGGGCTTGATGGTGCCATGGAGCCCAGGGCCTCTCCCATGGAGCATTCTCATAAATATTTGTTAGACCAATGAACATGATGTAGTTGAATTAATGGAGACCACAACGGTGAATTTAGGTGGGCCCCTGTTGATCTTTACAGGACAGAAGTGGATGTCACTGAGTCAGTGTGGGAGGGCAAGGAGGCCTGTGTATTTTCTGCACTTGGTACTCTGTATGTGTTACTTCCCTCCTATTACAACCCCATGAGGTATAGTTATTTTATAGATGTGGAAACTGAGGCTCAGAGAGTTTAAGAACTTGGTCACAAGGTACCAACAAAAGTCAGCTGGAGGAGGCTGAGCCAGGATCAGGTCCATATCAGTGTATCCAAGTTCTGTATTCTTTCTTGGAGCGGTGGTCCCAAAACTGGGGTCTTTGACTCTGGCCCAGGGATCTGTATTTTTTTAATCTCTGGAGGGGGACCCAGGCCTCTGTTTTTAAAGCAAGACAAGGCTTGCAGGTGAGTCAGATTTGATCATGTTTTGAAGCCACCTGCAGTAGAGCATGCCTCAGAAAGAAGAATGAGTGTGTGTGGGTGTGTGTGTGTTTTATATCATTTGCCAAGTGGGGATTCAGATATTCCTGAGAGTAGTAGTTTCCTGATTTTTATTTATTTATATCTGCCCACTGGCTTTATACAAATCAAAGACCCCAGAATGATTTAATTTGATCCTCTTTGTTGGTGTCTGTTTGTATTGCAATTAGTATGTATCTAAAAGTATTGGGGGGAGTTCTCATTTCTTCCAGCTGCTTGGGGTTATAGGTCAATCTGAGTTTGGTTCAGTGAATAGTGGTGGAGTGGCTGCTGTAGGTACCAAAGGGAACTAGATGAGGCTGTGTCCCCTGTGAAGGGACAGCCACTGTCCAGCTGTCAGTCAGTCTTCATGCAAAAATGGGGCTTGTGCTGGCTGGATCTTCTGATTCTTTGAGAGAAGCCAGAAATCTGGATTTTTATGAGAAACCTGTCCATTTTTAAAGAGTTGGCAAAATTATATTTTACAGTTTTTTTAAGGGTCAGACAGAACCCAACTAAAAGGCTGATTCAGTCCCTGATGTTAATTTTCAATATCTAGTTTCCCTTGTGGGGCTTTAGTGATGGCAGATGTTACCATTTGAGTCTTTGTATAACAATGCAATTTTATTTTAGACCAAATGTGAGGAGTACTGGCCCTCCAAGCAGGCTCAGGACTATGGGAACATAACTGTGGCAATGACATCAGAAATTATTCTTCCGGAATGGACCATCAGAGACTTCACAGTGAAAAATGTAAGTAAGAGGCAGGATGGATAGGTCTCATATATAATTACCATTTATTAATTCTGGGGCAATACTTTTTAGGTTGATACTAACTAGTATTTTTTTATGCATCAGAGTACGGTTTTTGCTCTCTTCCTTACAGAATAAAACAATCCAATATATACTTATACTCTAAGTCCTTTAGCCTTATTTTCTTAAGGGGAATTTTGTAAGTTATTTCTGAGTGAAATGAATCTTAAGAGCATGGCTCTGCAAAAGTAACTCCTTTCTTTACACTTCTAGGTGACTTGTGCAGAGTGCTTTTGTTACAAATCAAGGCCAATCAGATTATTTGTTTGCAAATAAGACATCAGGAGTGGCCATTTGCTGTTGGGAGCCATTTATGATAACAGTTATATTAATAGGATTCTAGGGCATACACAAATGGTCTTCCCTTCCCCTTAAAAGTTGTGAAAACAAATCCAGTGTAATGGTATAGGTATTCTAGGAAGCCAGTTAATGTATCCTTTCTTTCTTTGAGGGTGTTTGAAAATAGAGGCAGTGTCATGAAGCAGCATTAATATCTTTTAATGGGTGTGTAAGTTGGTATAACTCTATATAATAATCAGTGACATAAAACTCCATTCCCCTTAGATCAAAGGGGATTCCAAGTTTGAGGATCTGTCCTTAAGAAATAATATGAAATATAGGAAAATGTTTATTACTTTTCATAGAGATGAATCTCTGTCATTCATTTATAATGGAGGGAAAATTTGGTAACTGTGCAAATATCTAGCTTTCAGAGAATGGATAACTAAACTATGGGTTATCTAGTCATTGGGTCAATCCGAGTTTGGTTCAGTGAACAGTGGTGGAGTGGCTGCTGTAGGTACCAAAGGGAGCTAGGTGAGGCTGTGTCCCCTGTGAAGGGACAGCCACTGTCTAGCTGTCAGTCAGTCTTTATTGTCCAGCTGTTCAAATGATGGCTTTGGAGGCTGCATAAGTGCCATGAAGAGATGCTGGAATGTACTTGAGTGAAACATACTAGGAGGCAAAATCTAATTCATGTTATGAATAGTGCTTAAAAGAAAAGCTTAGAGGTAGATTCAGTCGACGTGACTCTGGGGGCATTTGGTATTGGTGGGTGAGGTTTGAGTTTAGGAGAATTACCCATAAAGATTCCCACAGTTCTGGATATAGTATAGTATATTGAGTATTAACTCTACTAATGACTGTGTCTCAAATATTCTAGCCTCAATTATTATTTCACTTCCTTCTCTAGAGATGCTGTCAAAGCTGTTATGCACTGGTGCAATTCACAATAGCTGAGAAACCCTTAAAATGTTATTTTTACTGATTTCACCCATTAAACTGACTTATCTGTGGCTGCTTTCACTGTTTGGGGTTTACCCTTGTGCAAGGGACTCATGGGTGGAATTGTCCACATCATTTAAAAAATTACATTACTATTGTTACAAAACTAAATAGGCTTTTCTACTATTTTCTACTATTTCACATTTTCCGCCTTTTCCTGTTCCAGGATCCAATCTAGGATACCACATGGCATTTAGTAAATGTTACTTTTGAGTCACACAAAATGCAGGAATGTGTTTTTCTTTTAAAAAGTAGGAACACAAAGGAGCTAAAAGTTTCCTTTGATTGCCACCCCTAACCTGAGCTCCTTTGCCCCTTTGCAGAGATAATACTGTAAAGTCTGACCCCCCCACCCCCCCCACCCCCACCACCACTCTCTTTCTCCTCTTATTTCACATGGCTGGTTTCTTTCTTCAGATGACTATTTTTGGTCAAATTTGTGAATGTCACCTTTGTGTGTGATAAGATTTCACAGTTCCCTCTCCTTACATGCTTTTTTTTCTCCATATTTTGAATAATGTTAGTACACTGCTTTTATAATGTATATACATTAAAAAAATAAGTGAGCTTCCAAAGGTAGCTGTTATACAGGAGATGGACATGCTTACAGTCCAGATTGGATCTATATGGGTAAGAGCAGTGCCCAGGTGTGGGCATAAAGAGTACAGTTGCATCAGGGCAAGAATGGCCCAGCCTGGGCAGAGTTCTAATAATTAAAGGTATTACTTATTATTATTGGTAGTTAAAGGTCCGTGGTAGGAAATCTGTAGGTGTAATAACTAACTCTGTTATGACAAGGCCCACTTTCTGTTGTCTGTCTGATGTTGAAATAGGTGTATTTTTTTGGTGGCAGGTGGGGCATCCTTTCTCCATTCCCTGCAATTCTGAATGTTTATTTGGTGCTTGCTAGTTGCCTATCACTTTAGTAGATTCTCCAGAAGACGTGAATTATGAGGCAGTTCTTGCCCCAAAGGAACTGATGATCTGAGTTGTGTTTTTGTCATTCATTTTTGATATCTTTTTTGGTGACATTCCCAGGTGGGCTCAGGGATGGGGCTTACGATGCTGTGGAGTGGGTGTAGGTATTGAACCGTAGCACATTACTGGCAGGCAGCTGTGTTGGATAGGGAAGAGAGCGGAACTCAGAATCAGAGGACCAGGGGTGTCTGCTACATCTCAGCTGTGTGTTGGGGAAGTTGCCTCACTTCTCTCTCAGAATCTTTGCTGCCTTGCCTTTGACGGAGGGCAATCAACCTTCCTTTTTTGGGCAGATTGTAAGGATTTGATGAGCATTTCAAAGTCTGTGCAAACACTTTATCAGCTGTCGTGGTTTTGATGAGCATGTCAAAGTCTGTGCAAACACTTTATCAGCTGTCGTACCACTGTTACATTCTAGTTGTCAGTCGTACCCACCCCTTTCAGCTGCCCCGCGCAGGTCAGCATACAGGTGCAGCTCTGCTTAGTGTCTTTTTTGTGTAGTTAGGCAACCTTTCTTTTGAATCCAACCTTTTTTCTTCGCATTCAGATCCGGACAAGTGAGAGTCACCCTCTGCGACAGTTTCATTTCACTTCCTGGCCGGACCATGGCGTTCCTGACGCCACTGACTTGCTCATCAACTTCCGGTACCTTGTGCGTGACTACATGAGGCAGAGCCCTCCAGAGTCGCCGGTCCTGGTGCACTGCAGGTAAGCATAGCGCGCCCCGCTGGCGCACAGATTTCCAATGTAATTATCAGCGCGGACGCTTTTGAAAAGCAAGGCCTGAGGGAGTACAGTAGACATTTACAAATTCAGGAAAGGTTTGGAAAAGAGAGTTTGGAACAGGGTTTGGCAAACGATACAGTCCACGGGCTACATCTGGTTGGCTGCCTGTTTTTTTTTTTTTTAAAGATAAATTCTGTTATTCAAGGAACAAAAACTCAATCCTACATAAACCTTCTAGAGCCTAGAAAAATAACCATTTTCTAATTCATTTCACAAGGTTATGGTGACCTGATACAAAACATAACAAAACAAGTATAAGAAAGGAAAATGACAAGCCCAACTGAACTGTGAACATACATGTAGAAATGTGAAACAAAATATTAACAAACCCAGTAATGGTTTGTTATCAGGTCCAAGATGGATTTAATTCAGGAATAGAATGTTGGTTTAACATTAGAAGTCAATTAATGTAATTCACCACATTAACATATTGAAAGAAAAAATACGACCACCTAGAAAGATGCAGAAAAAGCATTTGATAAAATTCAACATACAGTTATGATCGAATCATTTAGAAAACTAGAAAAAATTTCCTTAACTGATAAAGCATGTCTATGTGTCTTTTTAAAAAATCATATCTTAATTTATTTCTTATATATAATACTTTAAAATATTTCAACCATATCAAAATAGAGAATAAGAATTTAGTAAAGCATAATCTGAGGCCATTTATGTTTCTTTCTGTTAATAATATATAACAAATTCAAAGTTTCTACCCATCAGTGCCCCATCCCATTCTCCTTACATGGTAAATATGGTTCTAGAGTTGTTCTGCATCATTCCCTTCCACACATTTATAGTTTGCTGCATATGTATGTAGCTCTGTGGTGTTATATAGCTTTAAGCCTCACCAGATTTTGTAATGTATACATCATTCTGTGCCCTACTTTCTTCACTCAGCATTTTGGTTTGTTACTTAACAATGTTAAAACAGTTTCAGTTCATTTTTATTTATTTACTTAAAAATATTCTTTTGACATATAAAAACTATATGTAAATTAATGTGTACAACTTGATGTGTTTGGGGATAAATAAACACTGTGAAACCAACACCACAAACTTTGTAGAAAAAGAACAATAAAACATTGGCTTTAAAGCAAAAGGAATTAATCTCGGACTGAAGGAAGGGGAGGGCTTTGTTGTCATATGGGGAATGAATTGATAAAACTCGCCATCTGAGGTTGTAGTGGCGATTTGAAAGGGTCTGAGATGCAGGAAGCTCTGGCAAGGTGTTTTATTTGTGGCATTTGAGTAGAAGGAACTTGAGGATGGGGGCCCCAGTCCCAAGCTGGTGTAGTCTAACTTGCTGAGATGTCACTTGAACGAATGTTCAATGATCCTGGGCATTGATAGTGGAGGAGAGCAGATACATGTACAAATGGGGACATTTGAGAGTTTCACAGTAGAGGTAGCCCTTGGTGATGTGCTCATTTCCCCTCCCTTTCAGTGCTGGGGTTGGAAGGACTGGCACTTTCATTGCCATTGATCGTCTGATCTACCAGATAGAGAATGAGAACACTGTGGACGTGTACGGGATTGTGTTTGACCTTCGGATGCACAGGCCTCTAATGGTGCAAACAGAGGTGAGGCCAAGATCTGTGTTTGATAACCCATCCTTCCTGTTTCTAAAAGGTTGTATCATGTCACATGCTTCTGTTAAAATAATTTCACCTTTCTAGATGTTTCTGGCTCTTGGTTTCTTTAAGATCCTGAACTGACCTGGGATTAAAGTATCCGATACAGTGACAGAGGGTACTCATATCAGCAATGGAGCTGCAAACCAAATAGTACCAGGATTCCATACCCTGCAGCCACTGAATTACTAAATAATCTTAGCAAGTCTCTCAACTTTAGATTCTGGGTTTTAAATTCATAAAACTGGTTTTTTGCACTCTTTGTTTCTAAGAAGGTCTGACCATTCTTAAAATAAGCTAATGGAATGGACTTAATCAAATATTAATGATATTAAATGGCACAATGCTGCTTTAACCATTAGTAGAGCAATGTATCCTCACTTAGCCTTGTAAATGGAAAAGAATGTCAGTTATCATAGCTATTAGTAGAGCAATGTATCCTCACTTAGCCTTGTAAATGGAAAAGAATGTCAGTTATCATAGCTACAGGAGGATGGCTGACCTGCTGGGCAAATGAATACTTAATATCTACAGTATCATTTGTGTAAGACTGTTGGATTTGGCTTTCCCTGAAATGTTCCTGTTAAGGAATGTTTTTGAGGTACATTTTCAACAAATGTTTTAGGAAATAGCTTTCCTCAAAGCTGTCAGGGTGAATGTGTCTTGACCAGGATGAGAGCAGAATATTAATTTTTGTATCAGGCTCTTGCCTGTGCCAGTTTAGAACTCTATGAATATATTCTGTTTTTGAGTCTAGTAGGGAGTGTGCTAGAGGCCTGGGGACATTGTGTGCTTTGGGGTGAGCTGTGCCAGTTTTGGGATAAAGAGTGGAATTCATCTTCTGCATTGGTCAGAAGAGAGATTTTCTTTTCTCTGCTATTATTATACAGAGTAGTAGTTCTCAATCTTTTATGCTCTTTTGAGAAGCACAGAAATCTTATTCCTGCCTACAAATTTTTTCCTTGTTTCTTTTTTATTTTTTGAAAATAATAACACTTCTGGGCATAGAAGCCACACGGCATAAATATGCAAAGAAGTAAAAAACTAACCTTTTCAAACAATAAGGCTTCTCTCTCTCACTTACCAACTTTACATTTCCCTGTATGGCCCTGGGAGATGACTGGTTAGCCAGAGACGGGTAAGATTCCTCAAGAGAGGAACAACCTAAGACAGGCACAGTCGCAGGGGGGCCATCAGGTGAGGAATTGGGGATCAACAGAGGTGAGGCTTAGAACCTCCCCCCCACCGTTCTGAGAGAAATCTGCTGCATCCGTGAATGTTTTATTGCCCTTGTCTAGGTTGGATTAACACGTA